AAGGCGTGCACCACCACCGTCCGGCAACAAAGTAGATTTTCAAAATGGAAGTTTTTCATAACAGCACAGAATGAGCATATAAAGTCTTTAAATAATCATCATAAGACTTGGTATGCTAAGTATTTTGGTGCCTATATTTCTAAATTTCATATGTATTGGTAAGGTTCTGGCACAATAATACACTTAAAGACATAACTCAGCAATTTGATTTCAGGAAAGGCCAATTGATAAAAGTAATTAGTACATTTTAAACATTGAACAGCAGATAACTTTTGCTAGTGTCTAAATAGATGGGTCATAATCTAAACATAGGTTGCAAGTCACTCAAACTTGTGGCTGATGAAATTCGACTTTAGCGTTTCCATGAAAACGTCAATAGCCACATTCAGCAGGCTGACACACTGGCCAATTATGCACAACAAATTAAGTTTTACCTGAAGTTCCACTCTAGGTCAGTGGCAGCTGACACCCCAGGTTTATTGAAACAGTAGTTATTTCTGTGACCACTGGAATCTTTGCAGTGATGCCACATTTAAGGATAGTACGTCTCCAGATGCAAAAGTTGTTTGTTATTAAAATCTTCATTCTCTGTTGTTATGAATTGCACTAATGAATTATACTTTCATCTTCTTATTTCATTCCACCTTTATTGAATGCTAGGCCCAAAAGCACTGGTGCTCTCCCAAGACCTGCAGTATAGGGGACAGCAGTCAAATATCCAGCCTCCTCACAAAGTCATCAGCAGTCTGGTTGGATGGTAGTGTACTGTCTGTCATCAAAAGGATAGCCCAGAACTTGAGTGCCTTCTTTCTCCACCAGAGTAATAAGTTGCTCTACGTACTCATACTATTGTGGTGACACCACACACACACACACACACACACGTGTTTGTTTTTGGGTCTCACCCCCCCCCCCCCCGACAGGGTCTCAGTTTATAGTCGTGGCAGGCCTGGAACTTGCAATGAGACCAGGATGGTTCAAGCTCATAGAGATCTGCCTGTCTCTGAAGGGTTGTGGCACCAGGCCAGGCCAACACTGTACTTAAATTCCTCTATAAACTTAAGGTCACATTGGTTGGATTGTGTGTAACCAGGACAGTTCATTCAAGCCATGTTAATTTAGTTTAACAAAACAAAAACCAGAAGGCATCCAGTAGGGTTACAAAAGAAGAATTTTAAAAATCAGTTGTAGAAATGATGCAGAAAACCCTAAATCCACTTCTGAATTCTACTTCAGAATTCTACTTGAAAATTTCAGTGTTTGGAGTATGTACTTGGAAGAAGTGGGGAATGAAAGAAACAGGAAGCAGGGATTTCAGTCTAGTAACACTGAAGCATTATAAAAGAAACACACTGAGGTTTACTCCACCCAGGCCTGAGCTCTTGTAAAATTTTAGCTCAGTGTTCAGGTTATCCACTCTCCTGGGGCTTCTTGGTGGAGTAGCAGTGAATTCCTACAGCTCACTTTCTCCATAGAGTTCATGCTCTGCCTAGCAGTAATCTCCACTGCCTTCCAGAAACTGTGTGTGACCACGCACACCACAGAAAAGGAGCTTGTTTACTCCCCGAAGGTTGTAGCCTGTCCTGAGTGGTGCAGGAGGAGACAGTGCAGGTGGCAGGTAACTAGAAGCTAAACATCCTTCTTTTTAAAGTGGGTGATTATATAATATACAATGCTAATTATGGTGGTGATAAGAGTAGTAGTTGTACTTTTTATGTTGATTTTATTTTTATATCAATCTTTGCTGTAAGAGAACATAGTCAAAAGTTAAAGAATATATGATTATATAGTTATAGGACATCCTGTCAAGGTCCCTTTATAGTATGTTCCTCATGTTGTAGTGACCCTCAACCATAAAATTATTCCATTGTTGCTGCATAACTGTAATTATACTACTGTATTAATTGTAATGCAAGTATTTGATATGCAAGATATCTAATATACAGGCTCCCAAATATCTAATATGCAGGTTGTTCGGCTCCCAAAGGGGTTGTGACTCACAGGTTGGGAACCACTGCTCTCATGCCTAGCTTTTTGTTGTTTTGTGTGGGTGCTGCACTTCCGAATTCAGGTTCTTCATGCTTGTGTGGCAACTTTGTGAACTGGGCATCTCCCCAGGTCCCATGTGATACTTTAAAAAATGATGTCTCTATTTGTTAGTGTGAGTATATGTGTTCATGCACACGTGTGTAGAGAGCAGATTCAACCTTTGATGTTCTTCCTCAGGAGTATCCACTATGGTTTTCTTTTCTGTTCACCCCACCCCCACCCCAATTTCCGTCTTCTGAGACAATTTCTCACTTGGACCTGGGGCTCTTAGATTAAGCTAGGTTGGCCAGCCAGCAGACTCTGTGACTAACTTTGTATGTGACTTGGAACTGAACTCAGGTCCTCATGCTTGTGACTGAGCTGTCTCCCTAGCCAAGTGAACAGACTTTGTGTGCTTCTGTTGTATGTGTAAAAGTGGAAATGGTGATTTCCTACTGTGCACATTTCCACCACCACTCACGTTGTCTTTTTGCCCATGTCTGTCCTACTGAAGTGAAGCGGTCTGGCACTGCTGTTGGTCTCCATTTTCCTAATGAACTCATCTTACTCAACATTATCTAAGTGCTTCTGCCCTTGTGTATCCTCTTTGGAAAAAATCTCTACTGAAATCCTTTGTCCATCCTTTAATTGGATTATCTTATTGTTGAGTTATAATGATTTTTTTATATAATGTAGACTATATAAAAGTAGACCTTTATCAGATATAAATTTATTAATATATATTAAATAAATACATATTAATATATAATAAAATAGTTTATTTTCTCCTGTTCTTGGGGTTATTTTTTATTATTTTCATGCCATTTTTTGCGGAACTTTTAAAAATTTTGGTGGAAGTACAATTTATTTTTCTAGTATTACTTATCATTATGATTTGATATTAATGATTTGTGATTTTGGTATCATAAGATCCTTAAGAAAGTTGCCTAACCTAAGGCTATAAAGAAATACATATACTCACTTATAAGATTATATTAAATTAGCTTGTACACTGAATTGCTATGATGTCTTTGTGAAAACTCAGTTGACCCTGGGTGTTGGTTTACTTCTGGACTCAGTCCTACTCCACTGACCTGTGCCAGCTCTACAAATATTTTGATTATATTAACAAGTTTTAAAGATAGCAAGTGTAAGTCCCCTCACTTTTTTTTTTTGCAATAAATTGTTTAATTCTTTTGCCCCACTTGGAGTGCCACTTGAGGATTAGCTTTTCCATTTTTGAAAAAAGACCATTAGAATTTTGAAGGAGAGTGCATTTAATTTATAGGTGTGTGTGTGTGTGTGTGTGTGTGTGTGTGTGTGTGTGTGTGTGTTTGAGACAGGTTCTCATTGTGTAGCCCTGATTGTCCTGGAACTTACTGTATAGAGACCAGGCTGGCCTTGAACTCAGAGATCCCACCTGCCTCTGCCTCCCAGTGCTAGGATTAGATGCTAGTGTTATCACTCCAGACTTTAAGTGTAATTTCACACAACAGTGTTTTTTAGTTTTGTACTATACAAGCTTTAAATTTAAGTATATTCCTGCACACTTTTCTTTTTATGTTATTGACAGTAGAATTAATTTCTTTTCCACAATATCATTTGTTAGTGTATACAAATAGAAAGGACTGGAAGGGAGTAAAAACAACTAGAACAAAGACAGTGAAACAACTGATGTTGGTATTCTCATTGTGCTAAAGGGGTTGAATTTTATGACCTGTTGGTGCTGAGGTGCTGCGTGGATTTTACCCTTTATTCCATTAGTGCAGTCTGTTGTATTGATTCCTGTGTGTTGAACCTACCTGTTTTTATTGGATATATCTCATCTAGTCATGCTATATAATCTCTTAAAATTTTTAGGAAAGATTTATGTATATGAGTTTTTCCAGCGTATATGTATGTATGTAAGTAAGTATGTATGTGCACAGTATACCTCCCTGGCCACCAGGGATATCAGAAGAAGATGTCAGATCCTCTGGATCTGGAGTTAGGGATGGTTGTGAGCCACCACATGAGTGCTGGGAAATGAACCTGGGTCCTTCGCAAAAGCAGAAAATGCTCTTAACCACCGAGCCATCTATAGCCCCTGTAACCCTTCTTTTATGTACTACGTTATGTTTGCTAGTCTTTTATTGGATTTTTTTTTCACTGTGTAGCCCAGGCTGGCCTGCCTTTGGTTTTAAAATTTGTCTGTTGACAAGTTAGAGTTTGTTTTTAATCTGTTTACTTTTAACTTGTTTTTATTTTATTTATATTTTATATAATTTATATAAGGTATATCTGCTATTTCTGTGTTTTTGTGGGTCACATTTTCTTCTCATTTTCTCCCTTCTTTTTGTATATGTTTTGCAGTGTGCTGTTTTAAGTTTTTGTCTCTTTTGCTCTATTTTAGATTTGCTTTTTGGTGGTTTATCTTTAGAACTCAAACTGTTGTTGATTTGATACCAACCTACTTGCAAGAGCATACACAAACACATATATAATTGTATCTTTCCTCTCTCCTTACAGTTATACAAATTATATTGCTATAAAATTTATGCCAAGCAACAGTTATAATTATTTTTTATGCAATTTTCTTTAAAACAGTGTATTATTTTTCTGTTGCTGTTTTCATAGAAAAGAATTTATGTGGCAGGAAAACCGCACGTCGTTAGAAAGGCCTAATTACAAAATGCCACCTGGGAGCTGAGATTTGAGGAGGGTTATGATAAGGGCGCATTGTATCTGAGCTGTTTATACAAACAATATGCTTGTTGCTGATCACCTGCTTTTTTTGGATCCTGGAAGTTTAGTGTGTTGGGGAAGGGTACCTACACAATCAGGTCCTAATGTTAGGTATTCTGAAAAACTCAGAAATTATTTCTAGTGTACACACACATATCCTTCATTAATGTCAGTTATACTGTTATTTTTCTTTTTGTGGTTACCTCTTCTGGTTGTTATTAATTAATGTGTTCATCTTTTTTCCTTTTCAGGCAATAAATAATGCTGATGGGAGAACCATTTTCCTAATTTCCAAATTATTAAGCTGGTCGTCATAATGGGTAAGTTTAAGTTAAAAGCATTTAAAATATTTATAACTAAAGAATAGGATGAGGGAGAACATATTTATCTTATAAATTTATTTAGAAATTTATGATATAGTAGATTGATACCTGTGATATAGGAGATTTAGCTAGCATTTTACTTAATGGATTTTAAGGCTTAGGGAGAAGTATCACACACACACACACACAGATTGTAGAGGTTAAAAAGACCTTTAGAAAGTCTAGTTTTTGAGGGCTCAGCATACTCTCACTCTGTGTAAGGTTGGGTTAGGTGTGTAAACCAAAGCTTCACATTATCACTTTTAAAATTCTTCTTCCTCTTCTTTGTAGCCTTGAAGTCAGTGTCCCCTGATAGTCCAGGTTCTCCACTCTAAGTAGGTCTCTGGTAGCTCCAGATCGGGCACACTTTTACTGCTCCTGTTGGCATCTCACTCTTGTTTCTTTCATTTGCATTGCCACTTATATATTGAGTTGGTCTTTATAACCCTCCTGAAACAATATACACTCTAGTTACAAAACAAAGACCAGTCATTGCCTAAAGATACATAAAAGGAATGGGGAAATGGTATAATTATTATTTCAAACAAACAAAAAATACATACTGGAGTATTCACAGACAGTCATGACTGTTTAAAAGTGGCCATCACAACCTGGATGGATGTCTTGGAGCATGTAGTTAGTTTCAGCACTGAGGAGATGGAAGCGTGGGAGCGGGGATCTCTGAGTTCAAGGCCATTTTGGACTACAGAAAGTTCTAGGCTACATAATGAAACCCTGTCTCAAAACAAAGAAATCACACACACACACACACACACACACACACATACACACACACACACACACACACGGAATCACAGATACTTGAATATTTTGAGAATATTAATATATAATGAATATGTATACAATCTGTCAATTCAAAATTCAGTATTTGTTTGTTTGTTTGTTATTATTTAGACATAGGGCTTCTCTGTATTGCTCCAGCTGTCCTTGGGATTCACTTTCTATACCAGGCTGCCCTCAAACTCAAGGATCTTCTTTGCCTCTGCCTCTTGAGTGCTGGGATTAAAGGTGTGTGCCCCCATGCCTGGCATTCCTATACGCATTCCTTAAAAAAGTTATTTGAAATTAATTCCCAACCCTTTTCTGTTTTTATGCTCAATTGAGTGCAGGTGTCAAACATCTGCTTCTTTTTGTGCTTGTGCTTAGTCTGTGATCCTCAAGATATTTTCACTCCCTGTTGGGTCAATCCATGACCCTTCTGGCACCTGTTACCTTTCTCATCTGCCTAGCATACCATGGCAATCACAGGCATTCCTAACTAGAGTTATTAAGACAGTCCCTTTCTAGTTAGTGTGTGCACACTATGTTTGGTAGTTTGTGGAATTGTTAGCTCTCATCTGTCTTGTCAGAATCTCCAGTTTCCACCTTGGCAGGACCTTCTTAAGACCTGAATTTTGTTAAATGATCTTTTCCTTTTTTTATATATAATAAAAGGTATTTGTTTTCTTAACATGGAAATAAATATATGTGGGCATGAAAAGAGATTGGAGCTAAAGCTTTCGTAGGTATTTATTTGGCCACTGTGTTACTGAGTATATAAAAATGCCTAAATTCAAGTGCTAAAGATTTTTTTTTTTAATCAAAATAATCAGAACAAGATAGGTACATTTAAGTACTAGATTCTCATTCCAGTGTGGGATTAAGGCTCCTAACTTTTGTGTGTGTGTGTGTGTGTGTGTGTGTGTGTGTGTGTGTTTGAGACAGGGTTTCTCTATGTAACAGCCCTGGCTGTCCTGGAACTTGCTCTGTAGACCTGGTGGACCTTGAACTCACAGAGATCCACCTACCTCTGCTTCCTCAGTGCTGGGATTAAAGGCATGCGTCACCACTTCCTGGCTGGCCTCTGTTTTCTAAGAAATGAATTTATTTTATATTTTTGATTTTATTTATTATATATACAGTATTCTCAGTATTCTGTCTGCATGTATACCTGCAGGCCAGAAGAGGGCACTAGATATCACTACAAATAGCTGTGAGCCATCATGTGGTTGCTGGGAATTGAACTTAGGACCTTTGGAAGAACAAGCAGTGCTCTTAACCACTGAGCTATCTCTCCAGCCCCCTATATTTTTGATTTTAAATAAAAAATTTTTGTGCCTGGTGCCTACAGTGGATAATAGAGGTTATGGGATTGTCTGGAGTTACAGTTGTGAGCTACTGTGTGGGTGCTGGGAATGGAACCCCACTCCTCTGCAGGAAGAGCTGGTGCTCTTAACTGCTGAGCTGTCTCTTCAGCTCCACATTGTTATTGGTCTTTGTTGAGAAATATTTCAATTTATTTGTTTGTTTGTTTTCATAATTTATGTTTTTTTTTTTTTGATTTTTCGAGACAGGGTTTCTCCGTAGCTTTTGGTTCCTGTCCTGGAACTAGCTCTTGTAGACCAGGCTGGCCTCGAACTCACAGAGATCCACCTGCCTCTGCCTCCCGAGTGCTGGGATTAAAGGCGTGCGCCACCACCGCCCGGCTATGTGTTTGTTTTATGTGCATTGATATTTTGTCTGCATGTATGTCTGTGTGAAGGTGTCAGAAACCCTGGAACTAGAGTTACAGACAGTTGTGAGCTGCCATGTGGATGCTGGGAATTGAGCCCGGGTCCTCTGGAAGTAGTGCTCTGAACTACTGAGCCATCTCTCCAGCCTGATAAATAATTTTATGTTTGTAGTCTTTGGGGGAAGTTTGAGAGAACCCTTCAGAGCATTAGTAGGTAGTATCCAGAGAGAGCTTTTCTGATAGTTCTAAGTATCACATCTAGGAACACATCTCTAAGGTGAAGTCTGTGTTTTTAACATATAAATGCTAAAGGAAGATGTTTACATAAGGTTTATATTTTTACTCACTTTTAGTCAGGTTTTGATGCCTGATGTTTCGTTTGGGAGTCATAGAAAAGAATTTGTTCCAGCTGATATGTTTTGATGCAAGGTGTTAAATCAGTAAATGAATTAGAATGGCATTTACTTTCCCTACAAATGTGTCATGTATAGAGGGCTTGGAGAGAGCTCAGCAGCGAAGAGCACGGCTTTAGGGGATTAACACCTCTACCTCTGGCCTCCATGGGCACCTGCACTCATATATACTTACTTATCCACACACAAACACATACATACACTCAATTAAAAGTAATAGAAATAATATAAAATAACAAGTAAAATATTTAAAACAAAAATAAATGTCTCATGTGTGGATACTTAGTTTATGTTGAACTTGAGTCTTACGCAGATTGATATTAGCTGTTCTCAGAAGTGGTATTTTGTATTTACTTAAAACACAACATTTGGCAGGTTGATCCCTGTGAATTCAAAGCGAGCCTGATATACATAGTGAGTTCCAGGACAGCCAGGGCTACATAGAGAGACCCTGTCTCCAACAGCAACAACAGCAACAAATTTATATAATCTATGAGTATGTTCTACATGTTTGGAGGTGGCCATAAGGGCCAGAAGAGTGTACAGGATTCTAGAGTCACAGGTGGTTGTAAGCTGCTCAGTGTGAGTACTGGGAACTAAACTTGAATATTCTGGAAGAGTAGCAAGCCCTCTTAACTGCTGAGCCATCTCTCTAGTCCAGCTAATTCATCTTTAAACTCAATTACATTATAAATTCTGCTTCTTGTCTATGATGAATATATGTTGAAATTACAGTTTTGTGTATGTGTTCTTTTAAAAAATACCTAGATGATCAGCAAGCTTTGAATTCAATCATGCAAGATTTGGCTGTCCTTCATAAGGCTAGTCGGCCAGCATTATCTTTACAGGAAACCAGAAAAACAAAACCTTCATCACCAAAAAAACAGGTATCTATTTCAATAATACCTAAAACATTTCATTTTTATTATTTTTAAATTACGTGTATTTGTGTGTCTGTGTGGGTATGTGGGTGAAATTGTAGGTGCCTGTAGAGATCAGCAATAATGGAACCCCCTAGTGCTGGAGTTGGAGGTGGTTGTGAGCTGTCTGACATGAGTGTTAGGAGTTGAGCTTGTGTCTTCTGCAAGACCAGTATGTAGTAACCACTGCACCACCTTTCTAGTCCCAAGACCAGGAATATTTAATAACTATATTTGTTGTTTCATAACTTTCATTTCATAGCCTGATCTTGTAAAGACTTCTTTTATACTTTGAATCAAATGTTGTGTTTAATATAAATTATCTGGTATGTTTGCTTTTTTAATTTTGTCTTATTTACAACATTTAATGTGATACAGTGTAAATGCTGTGTATAGGTAGAATATTGAAATAACAAAAAATGAATACATGTTTTAAAAGCTATATGATAATTGCATAAGTTTTTATTTCACCTATTCTTCAAGCATCTAAGATAAACAATTTATTTTCCCAGAAGTCATTTCTGAATACTTAGAAATGTGATGATTTTGATTCCTATAAACAAGATTAGTATGAGGTGGAAAGCATGGAAAGTAGAATTTTAGAGTTCCTCTTATGTCTGTTTTTACTTCCCATAGTTTCAGTTACTCATGGTTGGCTTAGGTCAAAAAATAACAGGTATGATATTGTATAGATAAGCAGATCATAAGTTTTAAATTTCATGCCATTTGAAGTAGCACAGTGAAATCTCACACTATCCTGCCCTACTTTGCGTAGGACATGAATTCTACCTCTGTGTGTGTTGTATCCATGTTTGTTACTTAGAAGCTATTTAACTTATTGGATTGACTACCGAAATATGAGAAAAAAAGAGACTGACAATTTGAACATTCAGAAAAGAAGCTTTAAAGTACTTCCTTTAAGAAAAAAGGAGAAAGTTCTGAATTTAATAAGGATAAACCACGACAAACAACAAGCATATGTTCAGATGCCTTGAAACATACAGATGAAGAAGATCTATAGTATAGCATTCTGTATGTCCTTGGGTTCAGGTCATTTGAATATGTTGGTGCTCTTTCCTTATTGTCAGATCTGACAGTGTAGTCTCACCTCAGCTTTTTGACAGACATCAGGTGATTAGAATTATACTTTGAAAATGAAACCCCCTCTCTTGTGCTCTGTGTCCAATGAGTAGGCTAATAACTAATATCTTCATTTTATTATAGAATGATGTCCGAGTCAAATTTGAACACAGAGGAGAAAAAAGGTAAGTAAGGAAATGTTACACATCAATTAAATCATACAATAAAACATGTGTTCCAACTAAGCTATTAAATATTCTTTTAGATTTGAATGAAGTTTTGTGATTTTAAAATTAAAAATGGAATAGTCTTTGGTAATGTGTGACACTCACCTAGACCGAAGAGAAATAGAATATGTCAGGTGCCTGCTGACCATTGGAAATACTGAATGTGCTTGCTTTGCAATATCAGGAAGTAAATAAAATTGTCTCATACTACACACTTTAAAATTTTACTCTTTACTTTTATTTTTCCTGAGTTCAATTTTTGAGTGTTCTCAAGAGATTTCAATGCCATGACATGTGTTTTGTTAATAATGTTTTTTACAGTGAGTTGAATGGTGACTGCAGACTATTTATTTAGCATGATTGTAAGCCTAGCCTTCTATGACTGGTGTCCGACTAGTATATGTACCTCAGGGCGAAATAACTGACAAAAAGATCTAATAGGAGGTACAATTTTTTGTTGTTGTTGTTATTAGTGACTCATAATGTTAATGAAGGCTTGTTAGTCTTAAGGAATTTAAAATGGCTCATAAGTCATATAACTCGAAGATGTGAATATAATTCACCAGAGATACTGGGGGAAAAAAAGTATACTTGACAAACTGTAAAACTATTATCTAAGCTGTGAGGTGGTGGTGCGTGCCTTTAGTCCCAGCACTCAGGAGGCAGAGGCAGGTGGATCTCTGTGAGTTCAAGGCCAGCCTGCTCTACAAAGCAAGTTCCAGAACAGCCAGAGCTGTTCCAGAACACAGAGACACCTTGAGAAACCAAAAACCAAACCACACCAAATGAACAAACAAACTAAAACCTATTGTCTAGTAATGTATTCCCTGTTTGACATTATTTTCTGGGTCTTTGCTAGCTTTTCTGTTTCCTCAGCTCTGGATTTTGTATGTGATATGCCCTAATACTATAAAAAGGGAGCACGGAAGTGGCTTCTCCCCTGAGAAGCTAATCTAACATGGTTCTCTCTAGACTTAGTGCATGTTCTCTGCGCTGGCCACGCCTCAGGAATAGAAGAAGCAAATATCATAATTTTATTTCACTTCAGTCCTTTAGAGTCTTAGAGTTGCTTAGATAGTAAATGTGCTAAAATGTTGAATTAATAAGGATCCAGAAATCAAATTTGATCTCCACAGAATGGATAACTTACTATCTTAACAATTTCACTGCATTCTGTTACAAATATGTCACATAGTTAATTAAATTCACTTTCCTATGTATTCCCTGTTTGACATTATTTTCTGGGTCTTTGCTAGCTTTTCTGTTTCCTCAGCTCTGGATTTTGTATGTGATATGCCCTAATACTATAAAAAGGGAGCACGGAAGTGGCTTCTCCCCTGAGAAGCTAATCTAACATGGTTCTCTCTAGACTTAGTGCATGTTCTCTGCGCTGGCCACGCCTCAGGAATAGAAGAAGCAAATATCATAATTTTATTTCACTTCAGTCCTTTAGAGTCTTAGAGTTGCTTAGATAGTAAATGTGCTAAAATGTTGAATTAATAAGGATCCAGAAATCAAATTTGATCTCCACAGAATGGATAACTTACTATCTTAACAATTTCACTGCATTCTGTTACAAATATGTCACATAGTTAATTAAATTCACTTTCCTAAGTAGATGCTTTACACTGGTTTTTAATATTTATGTGATTATGAATTAGACTTTGAGAATCTTTAAAAAATTATAAATTAGCATAGAACAAATTTTAGTGGTTCTGTTTTAAATTTTATATTGAAATAATTTTTTGTATTTTATTAAAAGTGTGTTATAATTTTCACTTTTTTTTTCATTATTTGATTTTTTTGAGACCGGGTTTCTCTGTGTAGCCTTGACTGTCCTGGAACTTGCTCTGTAGACCAGGTAGACCTGAAACTCACAGGGATCTGCCTGCCTCTGTCTCTGAGTGTTGGAATTAAAGGTGTGTGCCACCACCTCTCATCTTTTTTTTTTTTTAAACTTATGTGTTTTTTATGTGCACTGGTATTTTCTCTGTGTGTATGTCTATGCGAAGGTGTCAGATCCCCTGGAGTTACAGACACTTGTAAGGTGTCATGTGGGTTCTGGGGATTAAACCTGGGTCCTATGGAAGAGCCAGTGCTCTTAACTGCTGAGCCATCTTTCTAGCCCTTAATTTTTTCTTATAATGAAACAACTGTTGTAAGTATATTGTTTATTACAAAGAAAATAAAATATTTTAAAATTATTTTCCTGTAGAATTCTGCAGGTTACCAGACCAGTTAAACTAGAAGATCTGAGGTCTAAGTCTAAAGTTGCCTTTGGGCAGTCTATGGATCTACACTATACCAACAATGAGGTAAATGTGTGCCATTTCACTTTAGTAGTCTCTATTCTGGACAGTTCATGTGTTCATGTAAGAGGCTGTACTTTGATTTGGTGACTAGGAAAAGAGTGGTCCGTTAGATGACTGATGTGACATGTTTGTGTGAAAATAGTTGAGTAAGAATATACAGTAGCAGGATAGGCAGCACCTCGCCACTTTCTGCTTTAGTTTTTTTCCTTTTACTCTATGTACGCAGTGAATTTACTTTTTTTGGGCCTATAGAGCTTTGGGAGTCAACTGTATTAAAACTTAGGATCATTGGATGGTGTTTAGGATGTTTTTTTATTCCTATATATATTTAACTATTTTTATTTATTTTTCTGTGCATGGATGTTTTGTCTGCATGTGTGTCAATGTGAGGGTACCAGATTCCTGGAGCTGGAGTTACAGACAGTTGTGGATGCTGGGCATGGAACCTGGGTCCTTTGGAAGAACAACTAGTGCTCTTAATCACTGAGGCATCTCTTCATGCCCCTTTCCTATGTTATTTATGTTTGGGGTCAGTACATATGGTCTTGAGGCTCACTATGTTTTTGGGAAACCCTTTTAATCTTGAGATTAGAACTGTATTAGATAGTAACTGGACTTTCTTTTTAGTTAATTTTTTTAATCTTTGGAAAATGCTTTTTATTGGCCTAATGTTATGATTTGTGAGTTGCAGCCTTTTATGGGGTAGGCATTACAGATTTGTAGAAGAAGCAGATAGATGAGTTGAAAATTTTTTTAAGGAAATACATAAACTCTTGTGACAATGAATAAAAGAGAAGTCAAAGATGGGAGTGACGGTGCCTGCTTTAATCCCAGTACTTGGTAGCAGGGGCAAGTTGGAGGCCGAGGCAGGCAGGCATGGTAAGTTTCAGAACAGTCAGGTGTGGTAATTGGGGCGGCGGCGGGGCTGCGTCCCCAACACCCCAGCCGCCTGCCCGGCTAGCTTATGCCCGAAATAATTACACGGAAACTGTATTCATTTAATTACTGCTTGGCCCATTCTCTTCTAGGCTAATTCTCACATATTAATTTAGCCCATTTTTAATCATCTGTGTGTAGCACCCCAAGGTGCGCTTACCGGGGAGATTCTAGCCTATGTCCATCCTGGGTTGGAGCTTCATCCTGGGAGCGGGGCATGGCGTCTCTGCTGAGGCGTCTGCTCCGGAGAGCAGAGCTGTGGAGTCTCTGACCTCACTTCCTCTTCCTCCCAGCATTTTGTTCTGTTTACTCCACCCACAGGGCCAAGCAGTTTCTTTATTGGCCAATGACCTTCCTCCATCAGTCAGGTCTACATAGAGACCCTGTCTCAAAAAACTTGAAACAAAAAAGGTCTGTGGGTATCCTCTTTACACTATTAAGGAAAAACTAGCTGAGATAATATTTATACCGAGATTTAATATTTAAAGCCAGCCCTCCAAAGAGTTTCAGGGGAAGAACAGAAGATGGAGCAGCTTGAGAACAGTGTGAATAGCAGGTGTACCAGTGGAGATGGAGAGAAGAGAGAGGTGACCCGAAAACTTCAGCAGACAAAATACATGAAGCCTGTGCAAATAAAGTATTTCAGAATAGCTCCGAAAGGAAAATACTTTTCTTCACTTTCTTCATATGTATTTAATAGAGTTTGAAGAAAATACTCCTTTAAACATAAAAGGCACAGAATTCCTCACCACAGTAGCACAGTCTGATTGCTTATTCACAACATAGAGTACTTTCTGTGCTGAATACCAGACAGTTTATTGCTTTGGGAGCTCCAGGGCCGACAGCAACACCAGCCAACCTGTGCCAGCCCCTTCTGCCTGCACCAGCTTATAGACACAGAGCCACAGCAGGACCTGGGTAGGAGTCCCAAGAAGAACATGCTTTCATAAGTACAAATCTGTGTCTTAAATAGGATCTCTGAACAGAGTAACGAGTATTGTACTATAGCAATATCTTGAAATTGTACTTTTCAGTTCATTTGTGGTTTTATTATCAATAAGCATTTGTCTTACCCAGTCTTCTGGGTGCTGTATCATAGGTTCACGCTGGCCAGGTTTTCAACAGCCAGCCTAGGGTTCTTGGGGTTTTCTAGATGTAAGCACTGGGTGAAGGACGTAGAGGGAAGATGATTATCAGCTGTCCTGAAGGGCAGCTCTCTGGATAATGCAGTTTTCACACCTCCCCCCCATTTTTTCAAATTACCTATCTAGATTCTTTTCCCATATAAATGACTTGACCTTGAGTCATTATCTCCTAGTATGATTCTCAGGGAAACAAAGACTTCCTACCTTCCAACCCCTTTGTCCACCCCTTCTTCCTTTCCCTCTCTCTCACAGGGTGTTTTGTCAGCAATAGGCAAGAGGAGGTAAGTTGATGTGTACTAGCACAAAACTAGCTGCAAATAGAAATTGGGAATAAACTTTTAAGTAGAGAGTAGACAGATGTAAACAGAGTTCAAATTAGTCTTGGTTTATATTTGCACTTGGCAGCTTTCCCTTTTTAAAAAAAATAATAATTTTGAGATAGAATCTTACCACGTAACTTTGGCTGACCTGGCACTCACTGTATTTCTTAGGATGACCTTAAAGTTCTGTCAATCTTTAAAAAAAGACACTGTTTTCATAAAACACTCTATAGAGTATCATTACACACCATAGTAGTTCCTGGGTTTGGGCACATCTCTGGTGCTCACCCTATGATATGTACTGAACAGCATTTGCCAGGGGCCTGCTCTTTGCTGTATTCTGCTGGAAGGGATCCTAGCTTCATGGATTTATACTGCACAGGACTCTCAGCTAAATAGACTTTACATTTAAATATGTCTCACATTCTCTGCTCTTTAGGGATGATTAGTAAGTGTGGCATATGTCCTTTTATTTACAGTGTTCCTCTTCCACTGAAATGATACATACTTTTATATCATTGACAGTTTCCTTAAGCTGCACAAAATTTTTTACTTAAAAAAATAAAAGATTCTGATTTTTGTAAATTGTGTGAATCCTACTTTTTTTCATAGACCTCTTGGGTGCTTCTGTCTTTTATAACATCTTAACCATGAGTGAGTCCTTTGAGGGTTTCCTGAGATGATCGCTCATTTGGCTTGCCTGTTCTAGAGTGTAGTGGTCAGTCACCAGGACTAGAGATGAATACAGGTGAAATGTAGATTGCAGATATGTAGCTGATGATACTTCCCATGGCAGCTTTCACAGATACTCAAGGTTTGTTACATTGCAAACACATCAGACAGAGTATAAATCTGTGGTTACTATTGAAAAAGAACTAAGAATTTTATTTGTGCAGGTGTAAAGAGTACCTTATTTTATATAATTTGTGTGTTTTTACCTTTCACTGTTCTTAGCAAATTTAGCAGTTATAAAATATCACAGAAAATTAATTTTTAGTTATATTTACTAGAAAAATGTAAGGATTAATAAGAAATATATTTTCACTCTTTACGTTCTTTCTGAGACTTTAAGTGGTGTTGGAATAGAGGACAGAGATGTGTACACTCCTCAGACTGTCACTGTAGTCACAGAGGACAGAGATGTGTACACTCCTCAGACTGTCACTGTAGTCACAGAGGACAGAGATGTGTACACTCCTCAGACTGTCACTGTAGTCACAGAGGACAGAGATGTGTACACTCCTCAGACTGTCACTGTAGTCACAGAGGACAGAGATGTGTACACTCCTCAGACTGTCACTGTAGTCACAGAGGACAGAGATGTGTACATTCCTCAGACTGTCACTGTAGTCACAGAGGACAGAGATGTGTACACTCCTCAGACTGTCACTGTATTGATGACAGAGGACAGAGATGTGTACACTCCTCAGACTGTCACTGTAGTCACAGAGGACAGAGATGTGTACACTCCTCAGACTGTCACTGTAGTCACAGAGGACAAGGGGTTTCAGATTTGCAGTTCCCCAGTAATGGAGCCGCTCATGGAAGAGCTTGACCTGATGTGATGTTTGCATGATTCCTCTATCTTTTTGTTCAGCTCGTAATTCCGTTAACTACCCAAGATGACTTAGACAAAGCCGTGGAGCTGCTGGATCGGAGTATTCACATGAAGAGCCTCAAGATATTACTTGTAATGAATGGAAGTACACAGGTATGAATTGGGGTTGTATTTCTCACTGAAGATTTTAAGACTTGTAATCATTTAATATAATTAATTTATAAAATTAAGTTTTATAAATTATTTAATTTATAAGTTTAGTTTACAAAATTGAACTTCCATACTTTTCATTACTGTAACTTAATATCCTTGTTCCCCCGAAACTATACAGTCAGAGTTACAAATAAGAACATATTATACATGTGAAATGAATAGAAACTGGCAATTTGCAAAAAATTATGTTAGAATTGAAATGCCCATTTTTTATTTTTACCTTTTACATTTATTTTGTGTGGATGGGGTGAAGTGTGCACATTGCCACAGGCACATGTATGAAGAAGATCAGTTCTCTTCTTCCCACATGTTGGTTCCAGGGTTTGAACTGCAAGCATGCTTACCTGCTAAGCCATCTTACTGGCCCTGAAATATCTTGTCTTCTTCATCCTCTCCTCCCTTCAACCACCTGTTTTCCTCCCTCCGTCCCTTTCTGTACCTGGGTGCAAGAGATCTTCTTGTTCTCGCCTTCCAATTAGGCTTATGCCACTCTTCTGGCAAATTAAAATTTGTAAGAGTAGATTTGAAAAGTCCCAACAAGAGTGGAGAATAGCTAGGCTGTGTTGTAGTGAGAGGAGGATTCAGTTGAAAGCCTCAAATGGGAAGAATAGCATTAATTGTTCTTTTCTCTTCTAGGCTACTAATTTAGAACCATCACCATCATCAGAAGATTTGAATAATACACAACTTGGTGCAGAGAGGAAAAAGCGGCTATCTGTAGTAGGTGAGAAAGCCAGGGTCTGAATAAGGAAATTGAGTGATTTCTCAAATCCTTCTCATCTTTTAATGTATTGTAACATGAAATATATTTCTGATAAGTAGCACCTTGTCTCTGTGCTCTCTGCAGTCATATGCTTGAACTACTTTGTCTTAACTGTTGTTCCTGAGAAATTAATTTTACATACTGTAGGACTAGCTATATCCAATTAAAATTTTTGTTTATACAGAGTATTTTAATATTCAGGAATTCAAGTAAAATTTCGAAGAGGTTTTAATGATATGAGTAAAGAAAGGCAGTAACTAAGACATTATGACTGGACTCTCATTTCTAAGTTCTCTAAGGTTTTAGGTATTGCCAGAATATGCTATCTATCAATATAAACATGGCTAGGAATAACTAGATTGTGTTAGTTTTTCTTGTATCTAGTTTTATTTATCATGTGGTGGCGCACGCCTTTAATCCCAGCACTTGGGAGGCAGAGGCAGGCGGATCTCTGGGAGTTCGAGACCAGCCTGGTCTACAAGAGCTAGTTCCAGGACAGGCTCCAAAACCACAGAGAAACCCTGTCTCGAAAAACCAAAAAAAAAAAAAAAAAAAAAAAAAAGAATAATGAATTCCTTATACTTAAGCTTATGATATAAAGAAATAAGGATCCTGTGTGCTATCTTGTGAGGTGGCCTTATTGAGCCTGGGTAGGCAGAGGTGTTTTAAACCCTCCATGCTTGTTGCCATAAAAAAAAAAAAAAGCCATTTACAAGGAGCTGAAAGAGATGACTCAGTGGTTAAAAGTGATTTTTGTTCTTTGAAAGAACCACAGTTTGGTGTTTGGTTCTCAGCACCGGTGTCAGGTGGCTCACTGCCGTCTGTGCCTCTTGGTCTAGGGGTACAACACCATCTTCTGTCTCTGCTGGCACTTGCATGCACATGAATACATGTTGACTCACATGTACATGTAAATAAAGGCAATAAAATAATTTTTTTTGTTGTTGTTGTTTTGTTTTTTTTTTGACAGGGTTTCTCTGTAGCTTTGGAGCCTGTCCTGGAACTAGCTCTTGTACACCAAGCTGGCCTTGAACTCACAGAGATCTACCTGCCTCTGCCTAGAGTGCGGGGATTAAAGGCGTGTGCCACCACCGCCTGGCTAACAAGATAAATTCTTAAAGTATCATTAAAAATTAAAAAAAAATAGACAAGATCAAAGTGTTTGTTGCTTAAGGAACAGCTGTTTTTTAACAGATAGGGAATAGAATGTAGTCACTCCAGGTAGCATGAACTCTTGTATTGAAGGCATAGACTTGAAAAGGAAAGTAAAAGAGGGGATACAGATAAGTAAAGAGAAAGCAAGCAAGCAGGGCAAAGGAAAACATTTGGGTGAAAATCTAGAAATGACTTCAATAGAAGAAGGGTGTTAACAATGAATGAAAAGATTAAATTAGCATGTGAGAAAGTAGAGGAGTTTTTTATGTTCTTTTATTTTCTAGAATAAGCTGCTTTATGATCATTCTCTTTTTAAGTGTCTTGTCTCACGTGAGTGTTTCAGAGAACTAGAGATATGACCTACAGAGATGATACATAAATAGACAGGGCTTATCCTTATGCAGATGTACTTGATATTACTTAAAAAAAAGTGAAAGACTATTTGAACTGAGTTCAAATTCTGGCACTCTCACTATGAAGCCAGTGCCTTTTCCCTTTCTTTGAAGCAGTAGATTAAAGCCACAAACAGAATACTTGTAAAGTAGGCTTCGCTTCTCAAACTGGAGGCACAGTTGCTATTAACTGTATAGTTTTTCTTTGTAAAAGTAAAATCAGCCACTTTGTTTCAGTTGTTAGACACAAAAAGCTTAAGTGCACTAGTTAAAATGCAATTTTGAATTCTCCATTATTAACCTACCAATAAGTATTTTTGTTGTTTGACTTGGTGCCAGGATAAGACAAAAACTGAAAATTGTGCAGAATTTCTCTGAGCGTATTAATATGCCCATTACAATCAATGTTAAGAATATGTGTTGTCAGGTAATCGGATGAAGAAACTTTTATAGCTGCCTTCCATCTCAGTTAGTAGTTGAGTATATTGTTCTTTTATTTTATTTTAAAAAGGAATATTCAGAAAGAGTAGAAATATCAGGGATGCAGTTATAACTGTAACCATAGCTATTACAAAGCTGACATGAACCCTTAACTCAGCCCACACTTCTTTTCAGACAGCAGATGATGTCTCTGCACGTTTAATAGGTGTTCTCTTGCTCCTTCTCCCTACTTAATAAAGGACCCCTTTATATATGCTTCTTTTCCTTTAAACTTAAATAGAATTTAAATGCTTACATCACTTATGTATCTATTTACTTTTAAAAAACCTGCAAGGAGAGCAGAAAACTATGTTAATAAACTATGAACCAGGTAAAAATAGACAGATTATTGTTTCATAAGAGTTGCAAATAGTTAAATGAACCATCTAAATGAATGTCAGGATCTCCATTTTTTCTTAAAGTATGAAGTTTTTGGAGGAGAGGGATAGGGCAGAGTCTTATTGTATAGGCTGGTTCATCTGGAACTCTATGTAGATAAGGTTGGCTTTGTACTTAAGAGATCTGCCTGTCTCTGCCTCCTGGGTGCTGGCATTAAAGGTGTTTGCCAGCACACCTGGGAAATTATGAAGACATTTAAATAAAAGGAATATAGCTTGCCACAAGAACATAGTTTTAAGTAATAAAAAATAAGATATAGGATACTAAATATAAAATAGGACCCAAATGACTAGGAAGGAATCTCACTTCAGGTTTCTAAAGATTAAAGATTGTGACCAGAAAGAATATCATGGAACCAAATGTGCACAACATATGTTTGTGGTGAATGAATTTACCATCATAGCATTCTTACCAAGAAGTGATGTAGTACTGTGTACTTTGATAGTAAAACAAACCAGTTGCCAAAGACACTAAGATGGTAACTTCCCCTAGACTTTAAGCCATGCCTGAATACAGAGCCCTTATTCCTTTACTATTCCATGATATCAGCAACAAATTATATCAAAGACTAGCAGATACAAATTATCTTTGGAAATTCAGAAGCAGTGGCATTAATATAAGTTTCTCTTGTTTGTTATCAGTTCATGATATGGTTGTCATCAGTCTGAAAAACTTTAGTATAAATTAGCATATTCGAGTGAGGTTGTAGAATGTTAATTTAGAGTTTAGAGAGGCTATAAAAGCTCTAAGCCTGAATATTCTGATTAAGTTTCTATAAGCACTAGATTTTCTTGCTAATTTATTTTTATGTGGTTAGAAATATAACCTATTAAATTGAAACAAACATTAGTTTGCTTGCTGACAGTAATAAAACTTACAATTTTTCTTTTTGAGGTACCACTAATAGAGATAGAAGTTCCCCTCCCCCAGGATACATTCCAGATGAACTACATGAGATCGCCCGGAATGGGTCATTCACTAGCATCAACAGTGAAGGAGAGTTCATTCCAGAGAGCATGGACCAAGTAAGCCAGATAGATGCTGTTTTTCACTATATGTGAAGATGCACTGATCAGCACCAGTGTGATTTGGCAGATACCTAGGGTGGGGTGTGTGTGTGTGTACATTTTCTGTAATCCTCTATCTTAAGTGAAAAAATATTAGAAGCTTCTCATTAATTTACATATGCCTTTTTGTATTAGTATGTAAAATTACTGAAACAATTTGATTTTCTTTCTTTTTTTTAAGTTTTTATTTATTTATTATATGTACGTTGTTCTGCCTGCATGAATGCTTGTAGGCCAGAAGAGGGCACCAGATCTCATTATAGATGGCTGTGAGCCACCTTGTGGTTGCTGGGAATTGAACTCAGACCTCGGAACTCAGACCTCTGGAAGAGCAGCCAGTGATCTCAATATCTGAGCCATCTCTCCAGCCCCATAATTTGATTTTCTTATATTGATCATCCATGACACATTTGGTTTGTAATCTTAGATTAATTATCATTCAGATTTTTAAAATGAACATTTTATTTTGTTTATTTATTTTTACTTCTTTGAACTTTCGAGATAGGATTTCTCAGTGTAACTCTGGCTGCCCTGGAACTCACTCTGTATATCAGACTGGCCTCAAACTCCTGAGATCCACCTGCCTGTAGAGGGCTAGAGGTGTGCATGCACCACCACTGCCTGCTTAGTGAGCACTTTAAAGATGGAGTGAAATTATAAATACTTTATGAAGCTGAGGTTTGTGAACTGTTTATTCCATTTTAAGAACACTTCAGGTTTGTAGTAATCAGATGTTTTTGTAGAGCTGCTTTTAGGCCCTTACCCTGCACTGATGCCCACATACTGCAGCATTTTAAATCTAATGTAGCAGTCACTGTATGGTTCATCTCAATTGAACAGGGCCATTGTCCAGTTTTTAATAAGCAAAATTATTTCAGCTTCAATTACTTGACTATAGAAAAACTGTATTTTGCCTTAAAAAATTTTGTAGTCACAGCTTGTTTATTCAGAATGTTTATAAATGAGTAATTCTGCAAAGTGACTGCTGTTTGTTACAGAGTGTCTTTGGAAGGTCCTAAAAGGATTCTGAAATTGTGGGGAAAGTTGTGTATTTCAGGATATGCTGGAAGCCATTGAATCATATATTTTAAACGCATGAAGTTTATGTTATGTCACAAGCAGTTTTGTTTTTTTTTTAAGTAACTTTTGGTTATTATCAGGCAGAATCATGGTGGAACTCTTTATTTTCCTAGATGCTGGATCCATTGTCTTTAAGCAGCCCTGAAAATTCTGGCTCAGGAAGCTGTCCATCACTCGATAGTCCTTTGGATGGGTAATTATGATTACTGGTCTTTCTTTTAGTTTATGTTGATATATAGAGTTATCAATAATTCTTTTATTCTACATTCTGAAAAATGTAGCTTATTGATAATTGTCTTCACTGACATTAAGTCTAGTTTTCTATAATGTGAATAAATCTTTTTGGTTTGAGGCAGGGTTTCTCTATAGCTTTGGAGTCTGTCCTAGAATTCACTCTGTAGACCAGGTTGGCCTTGAACTCACAGAGATTCGCTTACCTCTGTCTCCTGAGTGCAGGGATTAAAGGCATGCGCCACAGCTCCTGGAGTGAATAAATCCTGTAACCTCATGAGATTCAATAACTTTATTGTCTTATTATTATTTTTTCTATTTATGGTTTTCAAAATCTTGTTTGTAGCAAGTGCAAACTTAGACTATGTTTATTTTAAGACAGCTCTTGAAACTGTTGCAAAGTTTCTCATGTTTGGTTTTGGCAGTTTCTTTAAAAAAATTTTTTTTTAATTTGTTTCTTGTATGCATGATGTGCATTTGTGAGGGCGCCCTCTTTTGTTCTCAGAAGACATTGCTCTTTTCAGTCTTGTGTAGCACAGTTAGTATGAGATGCTTCACTTGCTATTTCCTCCAGGCTTCTTTATGACACCAGATACACGTTTGGAAATTCACCTATAATTTCCTCTACACATACCTATGAAGCCTGTCTGTCAGTGCTTACCTTCGGGAATCTACTCTGTTTACTTGTACACACCCCACCTCCAAAGAAAAGAAAGAAATTTTGTAATAGTCCATCCTGAAAATTTGTTATTGATGTTTGTTAAGTTAAAATTATATGTCCTCTTATATAGATTCATAAACAATTTTAGAAAAAAATCTTTCAGCATTAAATTGAAATGCAGGTGCTTCAAATCTCCATGGTTTCAAATGTACCATTCTTACCCCCAAAAGTAGTAGCTGATTTTTAAAAGCTTGACTTTTTGTCTGTGTGTACTAAATGAGTGTTTCAAAGAAGTTTCTCTTTTTAAAACTTTGTTAGTGCTTATGTGAGCTCCTTTACACACCCACACCCCCACCCACCCACCCCCCCCCACACGATATTAACACACCTACAAATACAGATATTGGTTAAAAATTTTTAAACATTTTATTACATACCTTCTTTTAATTTAATCTTACATTTTCTATCTATAGAGAAAACTATCCAAAGTCACGGATGCCTAGAGCACAGAGTTACCCGGATAATCATCAGGAGTTTTCAGGTTAGACTACAAATTCTACGTGCTTGAATGTTTATGTCACGTTTTAGCTGGGAGGGAAAAAAATTTTGAAAAAAATTAAAAATGATAAATATGCTTTTCACTATTAAAAATACTTTCCTTTTTTAATGATAACATTCTTATGTCTTAACAGACTATGATAACCCTATATTTGAGAAGTTTGGAAAAGGAGGAACATATCCAAGAAGGTATCATGTTTCATATCATCATCAAGAGTATAATGATGGTAAGTTTCTAACAATGAGACTATAAAAACAGATTAACATTAGCCAATATTTTAAAAATTACCACATATTTAAAAAGCCTCATATTTATGATGACCAAATAATTTGTTCTTGAGTCACTTAAGTTTCTGGTTAAAAATAAATAAATAAAAACCTCTGCCAGGAAAAATAAAATAAAAACCTTTGCCTTTAGTCTCAATACTCAGGAGGCAATGTCAGGCAGATCTCTATGAGTTCAAGACCTACATAGTGAGTCTCAGGACAGCCAGGTACATAGAGAGACCAGGTTTCAAACAAACCCAAGAAACCTTTTGTGCTGGGGCTGCAGCTTAGTGGTAAAGTATTTGCCCAAAGCCCCAAATTTGTCCTCTGTCAACCCTCCAAAAAACATTTTTTGAGAATATCAGGTTATAAGTCAAGCAAAAATAATATAGTAGTTTTATGCCATCTTGTGATATTTAAAAAGTTTAATTACAGAGGGATAATTGGAAATGGTATAAATCAGAAATCAGAAATTTAGTCCCTAAGGGTACAATTCATATTTTCTTGTCCCTTAAGAAAGTAAATTGGGCTGGGTGGTGATAGCACATGCCTTGAATCAGCACTTAGGAGGCAGAGGCAGGTGGATCTCTGTGAATTCAAAGCCAGCCTGATCTACAAGAGCTAGTTCCAGGATAGGCTCCAAGAGAAACCCTGTCTTTTTGCACAAGGAGGAGTCCCTTTGTTCTGTTTCGGCAGACCTTACACCTGAAATAATCACACAGAAACTGTATTCATGTAAGTCACTGCCTGGCCCATTATCTCTAGCCTCTTATTGGCTAACTCTGACATCTTGATTTAACCCATTTCTATTCATCTGTAATATCACCATAAGGTTGTGGCTTACTGGGAAAGATTCAGTATGTCTGACTGGTGGCTCCATAGCGGCTGTCTCTCTGCTCCTTTCTCCCAGAATTCATTTCTGTCTTCTCCGCCTACCTAAGTTCCCGCCCTATCAACTAGGGCAAGGCAGTTTTTTTTATTCATTATCCTATGAAGCAGCACACAAACAGAAGGAAGGAACTCCTACACCATTCACTGTCTCAGAGAGAAAAGGAAAAGAAAACAAATTGGGTCAGAGAAGGTGTATTAGTCACTAAAGTATATGCTGCTCAAGCACAAGAAAAGCTGGCACAGCAGTGCATGTCTCTTACTGAGCTTGGAGGAGAGGATGTGGAGCAAAGGATTCCTGAAGCTTGGTGGTTGGCTTGTCTTGCTGAATCAGTGAACATCAGGTTCAATGAGAGATCCAAAAGTAATACTCCAGAAAGTAAAGATGGCAGCTGGGCATGTTGTCCACGCCTTTAATCCAGCACTTGGGAGGCAGAATCAGGTGGATCTTTGAGTTTGAGACAACCCTGGTCTACATAGTGGGTTCCAGGCCAGCCAGAATTACAGAATCACATAATTATACCTTGTCTTAAATAAAACAAACAGATAAATAAATTACATGGTTATGCCCTGGTCTTAAATAAGTAAATTCATACATACATAAATAAACAAGATAATAGAGGTGGAGAGTGTTTGAAGAAGATGCCCATTGTTGACCTCGCGTCTCCACACGCATGTGCACATGTATACCAAACTGGTCTTGTTCTGTTGTTGTGAATAGACTTCATGGTCATGACAACTCTTCTAAAGGAAAACATTTCACTGAGGCTGGTTTACATACATATGTATATATAAATTTAAAATGTTATAACTCTTTAAAATTAGCATACAAAATATAGAGTATTAGGTTTCATTATAGCATTTTCAAACAAAATTTATTTTTGTTTATTTTTCCCCTCTTCCCTCCTCCCTACCTTTCTGTTTTTCCCCACTTTTTCAACATCCTTTCCTCTTGTCATCTCCTGTTTAGTTCATAATCTGTAACTATGTTCATACCCACATATATGCATGCATATAAACATTAACAGTTAAGTGTAGACTGTTTTTTGTTCCCAGCCACCGAATAATCACACAGAAACTCTATTAATTGCAACACTGTTTGGCCTATTAGCTCAGGCTAATAACTTTTTTTTTTTTTACAATTTTTTAACAGGCTAATAACTCTTATATCTTAAGTTAACCCATTTCTATTAATCTGTATCACCATAAGGCTATGGCCTACTGGTAAGGTTCTGGCGTCCATCTCCTTCGGCAGCTACGTGGCATCTCTTTGACTCTGCCTACTCTCTCTATATATCTCTGTTCTGATTCCCACCTGGCTTTACTCTGCTAAGCCATTGGCCCAAACAGCTTTATTCATCAACCAATAAAAGCAACGTATATACAGAAGGACATCCCATATCATTTAAGAATCTGCCTGTGAGAGAGACTATGAGTTTTTTGTCTTTCTGAGTCTGGGTTACCTTACTTAATAAATTTTTAGATCCATCCATTTTCTTACAAATATCATTTTTTCTTTACAGCAGAAAAAAAAATTCACTGTTTGTGTGTCTTAGTTACCGTTCAGTTGCTATGAAGAGACACCATGACCAAAGCAGCTTATAGAAGAAAGCATTTGACTGGGATTTACTTACAGTTTCAGAGATTTAGTACATGATTGTGGTGGGGAGCATGGCAGTAGACAGGCAAGCAGGCAAGGGGAAGGAGCAGTGTCTGAGGGCCTACATATCTGCAGGCAGCAGACAGAAAAGCTGAGCCTGTTGTGGGCTTTTGAAACCTCAAAGTACACCAACTGGGGCCCAAGCTTTCAGACATATGAGTCTACTGGGGCGTTTTTATTCAGACGGCCACAGTATGCGCATTACATTTTCCTGTTCTGTTCACCTTTGGAAGGATATCTAAACTGTTGGCATTTCTTTGCTCTTATGAATAAACGTAGATGTGTCAATGTCTTAGTTTAGTCTCTGCTACTGTGGTAAACGCCATGGCCAAAACCAACTTGGTCACAAAAGGGTTTATTTCACTTAGTAGGCTACAGCCCATCGTGAAGTGAAGTCAGGTTAGGAACTGAAGCGGAGTCCATGGGAAAATTCTGCTTACTGGCTTGCTCTCATGGCTTACTCAGCATGCTTTCTTATACAGCCCAGGATCATGTGCCCATGGTGGCACCACCTATGGTAAGCTAGGCCCTCCCACTCATATCATTAATTAAGAAAGTGCCCCACTGACTTGCTTACAGGCCCATAAGATGGAGGTAGTTTCTCAATTGAGATTTCCTGTTCCCAGATGACTCCAGCTTGTGTCAACTTGACAAAACAAACTAAAAGAGCCTACTAGGATCAACAGTATCTCTCTGCTACCTATAACTCTCCAGTTTGCTTTTTATGTTTATTTTAAAGTCATTATTGGAAATGAAAGTGAAGAATTTTTTCTGTGGCTTTCTTGTGCACACGAGTGTTTGTGCATTTTTCCATAGCAGGGCACACGTAATCATTGTTATTTCAGGGTTTTCAGCCTAGATTTCAAGGCTGATTCTTATTCCACGTTATAGATGTTCAAATATCCTGAAAGTGTAGTACATTAATAGAAGGAATAAGTTAATTCTCTTTTCACGTTGTAGGTCGTAAGACTTTTCCAAGAGCTAGAAGGACCCAGGGCACCAGCTTCCGGTCTCCTGTGAGTTTCAGCCCTACTGATCACTCCTTAAGCACTAGTAGTGGAAGCAGCATCTTCACCCCAGAGTGTGACGACGGTCGAGTAAGAAGAAGGGGAAGTGACATAGACAATCCTACTCTGACTGTCACAGACATCAGCCCACCCAGCCGTTGTAAGTAATAGAAATGTTTAGCAAAACATTTGCATAGTTTTATGTTAACAGGAATAAATGGCAAGTCAGAACTCAGGGAAAAACACTCTTCACAAGAAATAATAACATGATTTTTAAAGGTGACTAGACATTCAGGTATAAGTGTATATTAGGGCTAATTACTGTAGCCATAATTACTAATTTTTCTTCACTTTTATTAGGAAAATTGTTACTAATTGTTCTTATCTATTCTAGTCTACATGTCTGTGTTAAGCACTGAGACTCTCTATGCAATTTCTAAGAAATAGCCTAGTGAGGAGATTGGTTTATGGAGAAAAATTCCAGTATAACATTTGTTAGATCCTGACATGCAGAAATTTGCTAGTTGTGTGTGTCAGATGAAATACTTTTCCAAAACAACTTAAAGGAGACCCAGCAGGGTCTCTGTGGCCTTGACTGGCTTGGAACTCATTACATAGACGAGGTTAGTCTTGAACTCACAGAGATCTTCATGCTTCTGCCTCCTAAGTGCTAGGATTAATGGTATACACCACTATGCCTAGTTTTTTGTTTTTTAAGTTTGCTTTTTTATGTTTTTTTTTACAATTTTGCATGGAGTGTCAGACATCACTTATAGGATCATGAAGACTGAAGTAAATAAAATTTATACCTGGGCATATGCACAACTCTTCTACCTCATTCATTTTATGATGGATTGAGTCAGCAGACTCCTAGT